TTCCCTCTCCCTTCAGCCATCAGGGGGCCAGATTCTGCAGACATGTCTGGAAGGAAAAGAAAGCAGGGGGTGGGGTGGGGTGGGGGTTTCTAAGGCTTTCTCTTTTTTTAAAGAAAAGGATGGGCCTGCAGGAAGAGGAAGGAACAGGCAGACATCTGTCTGGACGCTGTTGACCCTCAGGCCTGGACTCAGAAGTCCGGTGGGATTCCCATCATTTGCTCAGACGGTTCCTCTCTCTTTCTCAAAGAGAGACACTCGGGTCATGCGTGAAACACCATTTCCCCGCCAGGCTGAACCGCGCGTTTTGTTCTGCTCCCGGGATGACGTGTGGTCTCACAGGTCTCTTTCCTCCTGTATCAGGCCCCGGGGGAACACGCAGAAGACACCGGCCTCCCCATCAAAGGATTTCTTTGGGATGCACCCGCGCTTGCACGATTCAACTGCTTTACACGGAGGCCAACACAGTCCCCAGGCAGAGGCACGTGCCCCAAAAAGGTTAGTTTACCCCTTTGTTGCTGGGACGGGCACCGTCCGGAGTGCCAGCCTGGGGCTCCCTCTCTCTGCCCTCCCGCCTCCCTCGTGGGTCCCCGGGCATCAGCAACATGCGGGCGTCCCCGAGAGAAGGCCACCTGAAGGCTACTTCAAGATTTGGAAGTAGCCAAAGAGTGCAACCAGCGGCTTTCCGTTTGTGCATTCAAGTGTCGTTGCTGTGTTGTGTATCTTTTCAATTCCCTGATTGCTCAGGCAAATGCCCCCTCCCCAAAAGAGGGTCAACTGGGTAACATGCCCTTTAGGGACAAGCAAGGGGCTGGGGTTCAGTTGTGGGGCTTCAGATTGGGCAGCCAGAACCCAAGACCAGGAGGTCTACTTCTTGCTTGCAGGATATGGGGGGGGGAAGCAAGATCTCTACCTCGCGACCGCCCCCTCCCCAGCCCCATTAACCTTGGCCCAGCCTGCCCAGGGGCCTGTTGTTCCAAAGTGTTGGAGAGGGGAAACCACACCTTTGCTTTCTGCTTCATTTCCTTCCTCAGCCTTGGGAGGACCCCGTGAAGTGCGGAAGGCGACACGCAGGGAGAGAAGGAGGGGGCGGCCGGGCGGCCCGGGCAGGCGAGGTGGGGTGGGGTGCGACGGATGACTGTGAAATGCAAATGGGCACTCCTGGGAGGGGCAGGAAAGCCCGGCTGGCCAAGAAGCCAAGCGGGCAGCAGCCTGTGGCCGGCAGAACCTGGGGCTGCCTTGGCGGCTGGGCACGCTCCCCCGAGCGGCAGGCTCTTCCTTCGCTGTACAACCACCTGCTCAGGCGTCCACTTCACTGGAGCCACGAAGTCACGCCTGTTTCCCCACTGTGTCCGTGGTGCAAACTGGATTTATTTATTTATTTAATTTATTTATTGGACTTATATACCGCCCCATAGTGCTACAAGCACTCTCCGGGCGGTTTACAATTTTAATTATACAGGCTGCACATTGCCCCCCCCCCCCAGCAAGCTGGGTACTCATTTTACCGACCTCGGAAGGATGGAAGGCTGAGTCAACCTTGAGCCGGCTACCTGGGATTTGAACCCCAGGTCGTGAGCACAGGTCGTGGGCCCATTACTGAAGCCAACCTAATCTCTTTGGGGGGGGGTGTTAGAAGGCCCACCCTGTGGCCTGGGGAAAGCCATGCTCAGGGCCTGCCTTCGTTCGCCCCTGGGACTCCTCCTTTTTCAGGCTTCCAGGACTCCAGTTTGAAATTCAGGGCTTTGAATTTTCGGGTTGGCTTTCCTGGAGCGGCATGCAAAGGACACCTTTGCCCGGGGGCGTGGGGGGGTGGAGGGCCCAGCTTTCCAGGAAGAGCTCTGTGGCCTCATCCGACCAGGGGTGCCTCTGTTCCCCGAGGGGACAACCCAGGTCCAAGGGGCAACCCCCCCGCATGGGAAGAAGGCAGTGGGGCCTCCACGTTTCCCCCTCTGACCGCTGGAGCTCAGAGGGAGAAGGGCAGGCCGCCTGGCTCTTCTGAACAATAGCTTCTCTCTCGGTAGATCCAGGAGGGCCTTCCAAAGAGGGCCCAGCTTTTCCGTTGCCCTCTGCTCTGTCGGTTGGGGCAGCTGAGAATTCTTTCCTTCAAAGGGTGACACCGACTGGCCGGGCTGAAGCCCCCCCCCCCAAACAGAACTTGAGCAAAACCTCCCTTCCTTTGGGAGCGGATCTGGAGAGAGGAACCAAGCGGCAGCTGTCAAGAAGCAGGTGGCCTCTGATTTTGGCTCCCTGGGTTTAGTTTAAGCTGGACCTTGGGGGGAATTGCTTACTTTGACTACACCTCCCAGAATCCCCCAGACAACAGGTCCAGCACTGACTCTGCCGGGCAGAGCACTCTGGCAGCTGCAGGTGATGCCTCCAATTTATGAGGTCATCTCCTCCAGCTCTGGTTTATAAGAAGAGAGAGAGAAACCTTTTGGATTTTGGAAAATTTTTGACTTATACAGATATTTTAGACACGGATAGGAGATTAAAGCCAAAACAAGATCTTATAGACCAGGGATTAGATGCATCGTGGTGGTCTATAATGCAAATACAATCTAGATATGAAAGGGACTTAAAAATGTATGATTTTTATAAAAAACAGACAACTTTTGACCAAGTAATGCTAACATCAGATGATAAACTAATTAGGAAAATATATAAATTCCTTTTAAACTGGAAAATGGAGGACGAAGAGGTCAAAGAAATGATGGTTCAATGGGCACAAAATTTTGGATACAATATTGACTTTGAAAAATGGCAAGAGCTATGGTCTAGAAACTGTAAGTTGACAATGGCAACATCCTATAAAGAGAATTTATATAAAATGTTTTATAGTAAAGGTAAAGGTTCCCCTTGACAATTTTTTGTCCAGTCATGTTCGACTCTAGGGGGCGGTGGTCATCCCCGTTTCCAAGCCATAGAGCCAGCGTTTGTCCGGAAACAATCTTCCGTGGTCACATAGCCAGTGCGACTTAGACACGGAACATTGTTACCTTCCCACCGAGGTGGTCCCTATTTATCTACTCGCATTTGCATGCTTTCGAACCGCTAGGTTGGCGGGAGCTGGGACAAGCGACGGGCGCTCACTCCGTCGTGTGGATTCGATCTTACGACTGCTTGGTCTTCTGACCCTGCAGCACAGGCTTCTGCGGTTTAGCCCGCAGCAAGACTATAATAGAAAGCTTAGTAAATAGGTCAAGTAAATGTTGGAAATGTCATAAAAAAATGAACCTATTATCATCTCTGGTGGACTTGTGATAAAGTAAAAAACTTTTGGAATAAAATACATATATGGCTTGTTAAAATAATCAAAAGGAATGTAGACTTTAGGCCAGAGCTCTTTCTGTTAGGTATAATACCAGAAAGTGTTGATAAACAAACTGTATATTTAATACTGCATATTTTAACAGCCACGAGGATTATATATGCACAGTACTGGAAAAAGGAAGAAATACCTACAGATCAAGAAACAATTAAAAAGATATTGTACTGCGCCGAAATGGATAGACTAACACTGAAAATCAAAGGAAAAGAAGATACAAAATATCATCAAACATGGGACTTGTTCTATCAATGGTTAGAAGGACATTGTATAGATTAGGAGTGTAATGTGTATGGTAGTTGTTTTAACAAATGATTATAAGATGTACCCAGGTGGCACAATGTTAAATCAACATGATGGATTTTATATAATAATAAAAAAAGAAAGAAAAAAATAAGAAGAGAGAGAGAGAATCAGCACCATGCAACCACATGGCTTCTATCCACAGGTGCGAAACTGGCGGTTGGTCCAGTAAGGGCAGGCCTTTCACCAGACGGGGCCCATCTCTGAGCAGGGCAACCCCCCCCCCGCCCTCCCCGGGCCTGCCCTGTTCACCGTTCCTTCCTGCTGTCCGGAGGGGACCTGGCCAGGGCAGCCCTTCAAAGGGAGAGTTCTCCTCGGCCAAGCAGGACGGGCGGCTGCCAAGGTTCAACGGGAAGCGATTCAACAGGGGAGCAGCCTCTCAGGCTCGCTGCACCTGATGCCAGAGCCTCCTGGCATGGAGCCGCCCCGCCCTCTTTTTTGGTGCCCATTCCTTCCCCTGAGCTTCCTTCGTGCTCTTGCTCATTTCGTCTCTGCTGCCAGAGGGGTGTTAAGTCCTCCTCCCCCAGGCTCGGTGTGCAGAGTCCAGCCTTTGGGAGAACGGCTTCTGGCAGGTTCCTTGTTCGCCTTTCACTGCCCATCACCCAGCCTCAGTGCCCGGCCAGGCTTAGCCCTTGGTCTCGTTATCTCCACTAGCAGAGGCTCCAGCTCTCTTGGTACCTGCGTGGTATCTGGGCCAGGCAGGGCTGATTAGTATGCAGGAAACAGACATCCAAGCTGGGAGGATGCTGAGTTTAGACTTTCTCCTCCAAAAAAAGGCAACGTTTAAAACGGGTGCTGCCTCATTATGCTGCTGTCTTACAAGACATGACATAGATGAAGCAAGAAGCTAATTACCACTGACACTGTTAATTGGGTCGCAAAAGAGGCTGTGTTTAATTCCTAAAGAAAGAGGATGCTAGTGTTCCCAGAAGCTGCCGCTGTGTCCTGAAGCTGGGGTTGCCAGCTTGACCACTGGCCATGGCAGCTGCGCCTTCCCCGGCAGCTTTGGGGGAGTGGGGCGGGGGCAGGTGGGGCTGTGGCCGAGGAGGGCAAACAGGTGGGCTTTGTTTGCCTCTCAACAGCACAAGGCTTCCACTTGCTGTCTCACCCTTCAAGTTGCTGTAAACACACCAGAGCAGGCTTGCCCGGTGTTTCACATCAGGCAAAGGAAGCCCCCAGCGAGCAGCGACGAGAGGATCTGAACAGGGAGAAACCTGGATCCCCACCTTCAAACCGCACCGCCCTCCAGGCCAGGGGGCCACCCTGGGCCAGTCACCTTCCAGCTTCTCCTGCCTTGCCATGTTGGTATACGG